AACCCCTCACTTTAAATGAGGCAGGAGAGAGGAAAGGGCTTTGCTCAAGGTCCCAGAGAGAGTAAGTAGTAGATTTGGTACTAGAACCAAGGGCCTCAGACTCTGGAACCAGCCCACCTCCCATTTCTGTTGAAGGGACCGTGTCCTTTCTTCCTCTACAACATCTAAACCTCAGTTTCCTCATCTGTAGGAAGTAGGGATTGGACTGGAGAGCAAGTGTCTCTCTCATGCAAATCTCTAATCCTATGATCTGTTCCCTTCTCTCCACTCAGTATAGGCCCTCATCCCTCTCACCCGGACTATAGCATTGGCCTCCTCACTGGCCTCCCCATCCCCTCGATGCCCGCTCCAGCCCCACTCAGCTGTCAAAGAGATCTTTCTAAAACCCTAGCATGATTTTGTCCTCCTCCCCCAGTAACTCCAGAGGCTCCCTCTCCCCTCTAGAATCGAATGGCAACTCCTCTGGCCCCTCCCTACCTCTCCAGACTTAGTGCAATTTATTCCTGTCCATACAATGCATGGTCCAGCCAGACAAATCTTACCGTTTCTCACACACGACTCCTTCTGCCACCCCTTGCCTTAGCCCTGGCTGACCTATTGCCTGGAAAATTCTTTGGTCTCTCCAAGTCACTCATTCCCTTCGAGCTCAGCTCAAATGCATCCTTCTCTCCCCCTCCCTTCATCATCCCCCTCCCTTCCTCATTCCCCTGCCTTCTTTCTTCTCCCTGCCTCCTTCTCCTCTCATCGTCCTTCTGATTTTTCTCCCTCTTCTTTTTTATCCCCGCCCCCCCCCTTTCCCTTCTCTGGGTTCAGAAGGCAGCTGGGATTTTCATCTTCAAAGCTAGAGAGAACAAGGACACTTAGGAAGGCCAGAGAAGCTGGCCCTGGCCTTGGGACAGAGAGACCTTTGTCTTCCTCCCACAATCTCCCATTATGAGTCTCTGATGCCAGGGGAAAGGGACCAGAAAAGAACATTCCTTCTCTGTGCCTAGTGGGCATCTGTACCAAACTGCCAGGGCTTCTCCATCTTCTCTCTCCCCATTGCTACCCATTGTAGGAGGGTCCGAAGGCAGGCAGATGGCCCAAGCCCAGTGCCAGCTCTGGGGCAGTCAGGGAGCTGGTAGCCCTACCGTCTGAGGCCACCAAATCTGAGCACACTCAAGCACAAATGAGTCAGTGCTATTGAGTGGGAAAAGCCCTGGGCTAGAGGTTCAAGGCACCTGGATTTTAATCCCAGTTCAGCCATTAATTTCCTGTATGACGTTGGGCCTCTCTTTTTCAGTTGTGTCCAACTCTCCGTGACCCCACTTGGGGTTTTCTTAGCAAAGAAACTGGAGTGGTTTGCCATTTCCTTCTCCAGCTCATTTTACAGATGAGGAAATGGAGGCAAACAGGGTGAAGTGACTTGCCCAGGGTCACATAGCTAGTAAGTGTTTGAGGCTGGATTTGAACTCAGGCCCTCTTGACTCCAGGCCTGGTGCTCTATCTACTGCGCCACCTAGCCACCCTGGGCCTCACTTTACCCCTTTGTGAAATGAAGGGGTTATATTCCATGATCTTCTGTTTTATCCAGCTGCACAGGAGTTAACATTGTGTTTGGAGCTGGACACAACCTTAGAAACCAAATCCAGCTGTCTCATTTTACAGATAAGGAAACTGAGGCCCAGAATGGGGAGAAGGCCTATCTGAGGTCACAGAAGAAAAGCCATAATTTCAGCATCAGTCCTTTGGCTCGGCTTCCTCATCACGCTGCCCTCTCAGAGGGGAAGAAGCTACTGCTAGAATGGAAGCTTCTTGAGGGCAGGCCTGAGCCATTTCCTAATCTTTGCCTACTGCCTTATAGCCAGTAGGTGCTTAATTAGTGTTTATTGAATGAATGATTGAGAACAGAGAGGCTGTCTCTTTCCCAGTCCCTCTTGACCTCTGTCACCTTTGTTCTCCAGGCAGATGGCAGGGATGGGTCCCCCAGGCCTTGCCATGGCCATCCTGCTGGGGCTGGTGGGGGCCACCCTGGCCTCTGAGAACGGGACAAGGATCTGCCAGCCAGCCCCAAAGTGGCAAGTGGACGGAGGCACATCCCCCATGGAGGAAGCCCTGGGCCAAGTGACGGTGGTGGCCCTTCTGAAGGCCAGCTGACACTTCTGTCTCAAGCAAGCTGCCAGGTGACAGGCAAAGAGGGGTGGTCTCAAGGGGAGAATGGTACAATGCTCAGGGACTACCAGACCCGAGGGGCCCAGGAAGTCAAGGCAAAGGGAGCCAAACCAATACTCAATAGAGACTTCAGGTCAAAGTTTCAAACTGGTCACTCATCAGCTTTGGGGCTACATCAGGTCACTTTCTCACTCTGAGCCTCAGTTTCCTCCATCAGAAAATCTCATCATAGGAAGGGAGCTCAGTGGGAATAAGACCGCCCCCTCTCCATCCCAGAAACAAATGGCCTCTATTTGCAGACCTCCAAGGACAGGGAGATCACTACCTCTCAAGGCAGCCCATCCCACTCAGGGATGGGAAATTCTTCTAGACCATCGAGCTCAGTTGGCCCCTCTGTGGCCTTCTCCCTTTGTTCCTGGCTCTACCCTCTGGGCCAAGGAGAGCAAGGCTGACCCTCCTCCATGACAGCCTCTCAAACACTTGGAGCCGGGGATCCCCTGGGGTCCTCCCTGAATGTTCTTCTTTCCAGGATAAACATCCCCTGGGTCCCTCCCTTGAGCCTCCCATGGCATGAACCCCAGGTCCTTCCCCCTCCTGCCTGCCCTCCTCTGAACACTCTCCAGCCCATTCAAAGCCCTTCTCAGACCCCCGTGCTCCAGCAGAGGCCTGACAGGGCCTCACCTCTTTAGTCCTGAATGCAGGCCCACAGTGCACCAGGTTTTGTCCACCCTAATACACTAGTGTGTGAGACTCAGGTCCACTAGGACCGCCAGTCTCTTCCAGACAAGCTGCTGTCTGTCCAGTCAGGACTCCCACTATCCTATACCTATGAAGGTGACTTTGGAACCCAAGTGTAGGCCATTTATCCCCCTGAATTTGACCTGTTATCTCCTTTTAATTTCAAGCTCTGTCAGCTGGTTTGTCCACTACCCCCCTGTCTAGTGTGGGCTCATCTGCTATTTGATGAGTGTGGCACTGATGCCTTTACCCAACCAACAGCCCAGGGTCACGCACAGTCAGTCAACAAACATTGAAGAAGTGCATGCCATGTGCCAGGCACTGTCCCTGCTCTTAGGAGCTCCCAGGTTAACAGGGTGGGGGTGGGGTGGGGAGACAGCCTGTGAACAAGTATGTAGAGTCAAGGGCCATCCAGGGTGAATTGGAAATAAGCGCCAGGGGCAGGCACTGGCAACAAGAGGGCTGGGGAAGGCTTCCTATAGAAGGTGGGATTTTGGCTGAGGTCTGAAAGGAGCCAGGGAAGGTAGGAGGTGGAGAGGAGGAGGGAGAGTGTTCCAGGCCCAAGGGACAGCCTGAGAAAATGCCCAGAGCCAAGAGATGGAGCGTGGTGTTCATGGACTAGCCCAGAGGCCGGTGTCACCGGATGGAAGAACATGGTGGGGTGACCAGACTGGAAAGGCAGGACGGGGCCGGCTTGTGAAGGGCTTCGACTAGTGAACAGAGGATTCGATATTTGAGCCTGGGGTGATAGGGAGCACTGGAGTCTAGTGAGTAGTGGTGTGTGTGTGTGTGTGTAAGTGTATGTGTGTGTGAATGTGTGTGTGTGTGTGTGTGTGTGTGTGTGTGTGTGTGTGTGTGTGTGAGTGACAAGGTTTGACCTTTGCTTCAGATTCCGTTCAAGAGACCAAATGAAGGATGGTCTGGAGCAGGGGGGACTCATGAGACAGGCAGACCTCCCAGCAGCTGTCCCTTTAGTCTAGGTGTGACATTTTGAGGGTCTGCACTGGGGGGCGGGGACAGTGTCAGAGGAAAGAAGAGAATGTATTCAAGGGATGAGGTAAAGGCAAATTCAACATGTGTTGGCCACAGATGGAATAGGGGAGGTGAGAGAAAGAGAGAGAGACAGAGAGACAGAGACAGACAGAGACAGAGAGATAGAAAGAGGAATCGTGGATGGCACGGAGGTTGTGTGACCAGAAGGATGGTGGCTCCTTGACAGTAACTGGGGTGTTAGGAAGAGGGGAGGGTTTGGGGGGAGAAATAACGAATTCATTTTGGGGATATGTTGAATTTAAGACATCTGTCTATGAGAGAGCCAGTTCAATATATATGACAGGCAGCTGGAGACATGATACTGGAGGTCAGCAGAGAGGTTAAGATTGTGGTAAGTGAATGCATGGGAGGCGATGAAAGCACCAAGTGAAATAGTATAGGTGTAGATGAGAAGAGGGAGGGGCCTGCGGGACAGATGCGGTTAGTGGGCGTCACCTGAATGAAGACCTAGCGGGAGACTGAGGAGGAGCGGTCAGAGAGGTAGGAGGAGAACCAGCAGAGAAGGCAGGCGTCCCTAGCGCCTAGAGAGAGGTGAGGGCGATGGCCAGTGTCAAAGGCTGCAGAGGGGTCAACAAGGATGAGGACGGAGGAAAGACATGGGAATGGCGATTTAGGAAGACAGAGAAGAGAGGAGCCAAAGGTGCCAGCTGTCGAAGACCCCTCTTTCTAGACACGAAAGGGAGGACAGAAGGGACAGAAAATGGGAGACGGCCAGATCAAGCGAGGGTTCTCTGAGGATGGGGGAGATGTGGACGTGCTTGCGGGCAGGAGGGGAGCAGCCAGGAGGCAGGGTGAGATTAAGGCGGAATGAGGACCACGGCAACAGAGGGGCGATCTGTCGGGGAGGGTGGCATGGACTGGGATGCCTTGTATGTGTGGAGGGCTTGGCCCTGGTGAGGAGGAGGGCCACCTCTCCATGGGAGATGGGAGCGACAGAAGCATCTGGGAGTAGGAGGTGGGGAAATGCGGAGAAGAGGAAGCTCATGATGCGCGGCTTCAGTTTTATGGGGACCATAAATGTGAGGCCAGGTTCTCCAGTGACCTAACTCTGGCACTTGATGTCGTTCCTAAAGAGCAGTCGTGTGGAAAGCCCTTGGCAGTGGCTGGACGTGGCAGCAATGGAGACCGTGACCTTCAGGAGGTCTCCTGGCAGTTCTGAGCTGAGCTGCCCCCGTATCCTCCCCTTCCTGGGCCAGCCCCCAGGAATGCCCCACCTTCTGGGTCTTTGCCGGTTCCCAGGCCCTAGCCAACAGTGGGTTTATTCATTGTGAGAGAAAAGGGGGAGGGAGAAGAAAGGGCAGAGGTACTTAACCAAAAATAGGATCTTTCTGAAGTCAACCCGCCCCCACTTAGGGGGCCAGAGGGACCCAGGAGAGGCTTCCATCTAGCAACTCCCTCTGCCTCCTACCTCCCCACAGACTTCTGAGGGAGCCCAGAAATCCCTGAGGCACTCCTTTCTCCACTCAAGACCATTTTACAGAGGAGGAAACTGAGGCCCAGACAGAGGAGGTGCTAGCCCAAGGTCTCAAAGGGAAGCGATGGCAGGGCCGGGAATGGCCCCTGTCTTGGCCTGCCAGGCCACTCTCCTGGCTCTCCCATCTCAAGGTCAAGGCCCTTGCTAGCAGAGGCTCTGAGGGCAAGAGGGGACAGGGAAAGGAGGCTCCCTAAGGCCCCACTTACCAGTTCCTCCTTTCTTGTCCTCAGCATAGGCAGCTTGCAGGAGCGCCTGGCCCGCGTGGATGCTGCTGGTGTTCGCTTCATCATAGTCAATGAAAAGTCGCCCCTGTCTCAGGCCCTGCATGGAGAGCTAGAATTCCACGCACCCCCTGGCATACCCGTCTACAGCCAGCAGGGGCCTGGCCCTGACATCTGGAGCATCCTCGGGGGTGCCAAGGATGACTTCCTTGTCTATGACAGGTAGGAGCGCTGGGCTGGGAATGGGGCTGGGGTCACAGGAGGGTAGACAGAGATGCTGATCAGTCAGGGAGGAACTGCTGAAGCCTTGGCCCTCCCAGCCCGTGCCCGTCATGTGCTTCCTAAGCCCATGGTTGGAACTTGACTCCTGATGACTGCCGCTGGGCTGACAGGCTTCCCCTCCCCTCCTTGCCTTGCCTTCACTTGGCAGAGCCGCCCCAGGCCCCAGAGACTATATGAGTGTGTGTGCGTGTGTGTGCCCATGTGTGCGTGTGTGTGAGACGGGCAGCCTCCTGATCTGATGGGGGGCAACCCAGCACCCCCTGACCTCCTGGAGGACCGGCGTCAGCAGCTGAGCCTCACACACCCTACCCCCAGTGGCTTGAGGTTTCCCAGGCTCAGTGGGGCAGCAGAGCCCTAGGGAGGGAGCGGCTTTCCAAAGAGGCAGGCACAGGCTGAGGGCCCCGTCAAGCCAATGCCTCATTTTGTGGATAGGGAAACCGAGGCCCAGAGAAGGCTAGGGTAAGGGACTTGTTCAGGCAGCAGGGACTTGTTGAGGTCAGGTGGCAGGGCCAGGGGCAGGATTCACACTCAGGCCCTGCGACTCCCAGCCCAGCCCTTTCCCCACAGCAGGCTGGCTCTGTCTGCCCTCACAGGTGTGGCCGCCTGACATTCCACCTCCAGCTGCCCTTTAGCTTCCTGCACTTCCCCTTTGTGGAGTCGGCCATTCGCTTCACCCACCGGCAAGATCACTGTGGGAACTGTTCTTTCTACTCCACCCAGGTGAGGCCCAGAGACAGCGAGGGCATGACCGGGGCATGGGGGGAGGCACAGGGAGGCTTAAGGTGGGCCTGGGGGCCTCAGAACTGTCAGGCACCTTTACAGACTTCATAAATGGGCAAAGGACCAGAGACTTGCCCAGGATCACACAGGGAGAGGGGGACCTTGAATGCTTATCAATGCTCTTTCTGCCTTCCTGGGCTGGCTACGGGTCGAAGGTAGGGTTATTGGGTCTCACAGGATTTGACAGTCAAGGAGAAACCAGAGGTCAGAACCTTATCCCCCCACCTCCCCTACCACCAGGGGCCCAGTCAGAACATTGAGGAGGCCTGTGGGTAACGCATGGGAGGGCTTGTGAATGTCTCCCTAGCAGTACACGGCATGGAATTCCCCCCTCCAAGTCTATGCTGTGTAGACTGTACCCTGGGTTTCTGAGGTACAGGTGAAAAGACTTCAGACCTTCTAAGAGCTGTGGGGGGCCTCCTTCCAGCACCCCTAGCAGGTCATAGCCCATCCACACAGGCTCCCTGAAATGTCCAGGCTCTCACCCCCAGGGGCCTACGCACCAGGGCTGAGCCTCCCCAGCCTCAGAGAACAGACTAAGGATCCACCCAGGTCTCCCTCCCTCCTGGGAACCTCTTTGTCTGGGTGGAACCTGTCAGAACTTGGGTTCCTCCAGGAGAACCTGGGAGAACCAAGGCCTCCAAGAAGACAGTGTAGACCTCAGAGGAAGGTGACCTACCTGTGTGTATGTACATGTGTAGACATCTGTGTCTGTGTAAGGAGAGTTCTCTCACAAGGGCTGGTCAGCATATCACCAAGTGAACCGTCTGCTCAGAGCCTGGGACTGGAGGGCCTCTTCCTGGAGAAGGTGCCCACTGCCAGGCGGTTAGTCCTCAGTGCCTGGGGCTGCCATAACCTGGTTGGGTCACTGTGGGCACTTGGGAGGAGCCACAGCCCCGACAATAATTCAGAATATCAGCTCAGATGTCGTTCAAAGGCACAGCTCCCAGGGAAGTCCGCAGGAGTAGCCCTGGCAGAGGGAGGGCTGGGGAGGCATGTGCCATAAGCTCCCCTCCCTCGCCCCAATAGAGTAGCTAGGAGACCTGATGGACCGAGGCAGTTTGTTATTTTGAATCTGCCCCTTGCTGAATACTGTCCTTGCAGGCAGGGCAGAATCACACATTTCACCAACATTAGCCTTGTAAGTGGACATTGGGTAATTTGTTTCTTCTGTGGCTGTCTAGGAAAATTATCTTTACACCTGGCCTTGTAGAGGAAACTGAGCCAGGGCTAGGCTGAAGGTACTTTGAGATGGAAGCCAGCTCTGAAATGGAGCCACTCAGGCCAGAGAGGAAGACAGGCCACCTCCTCCCCTCAGGCTTCCTGGTGAGCTGGCAGACCTGCTCAGCCCGGCTCAGCCCCAACTTTGGGGCCTTTTTCAGGCCCCTCAGCCCAGCCCCATCAGGTTGCTTTCTATACAGAGCTGGTGAATGGGTGTCTGCTTAGTGGGTTCGTGAAAACTGGTGGGCCATCATTGTCTTATGTCCTCTCTAGGTGAACAGCACAGACGAGGGGAAGGCTGAGTCACCGACTCAGTCCCCTAGCCCAGAAGGAGAAGGGCAGGAGCCCCAGGCTGAGGGGCCCAGCACCCACAGGCCGACTCTGTTGTCTAGCACCCTTCACACAGCCCATACCCCTGGTCCTGTCCGCAGCCGCGATAAGAAGCCACCACTTGGCCACAATCTAGAGCAGCCCCCCAATGAGGAGGCCACTGAATAACCCTCCCATGGCCATGGTTGAGGCCAGGCCCCCACTGCACAGGCAGGCCCCAAGAGGGCCACCAACCCCACTCCCAACCTCATCCTCCGTCAATCTGGCCTGTTTCAGGGAAAGGAGAAACTGAGGCGTCCCTGGGGCCAAGGTCACCATGGAACAAACCCATCTGTTTCCATCAAAGCTGTGGCCTGCTTGCCTGTGGCATTGGCTAGCTCTACATCTTACCCGCTGCCCCTTCCTCCCTCAATTAATGATGCCCACAGTGAAACCCGGCGAGCCGGCCATGGTGGGCTGATGCCACATAGAGAGGGGGAATGAGGAGGAGGCTCCATTGTCCATACCCAGGTGTGACTGCAAGCCAACATGAGGCACCAACCTGACTCAATACAAGTGCTCAGAGGAGTGGAGGGCTTGGCGAAATGGTTAATAAACTCCTCTCCCCAGAGCTGCCTCACGACTGTCTGTTTGAGGGTGCCACAGGTAACCTCACATTGTGTGGGGGGCAGGGAAGGAGGCAGATGCCCTGGGACACTGGGATGTGTGTGTGTGTGGGGGGGGGGTTAGCCAGCCTGGGTTTTGTCTAAGACTGGGGTGGGGAACCTTTGGGCTTGAGGTGTGGCCCTCTAGGTCCTCAAGTGCAGCCCTTAGACAGAAGTTTGCATTCAGTCAAAGGACTGAAAGCACTTGAGGACCTAGAGGGCCACATGTGGCCTTGAGGCTGCGGGGTTCCCCATCCCAGGTCTAAAGGAATCTGGCAAGTGTCTTCCATATACCAGAGAATGGTGGGCCAGCCCCTAGAGATACAGAAACAGAATGACAAAGTTCCTGCCCTCCTGGAGTTTACATTCCCCTGAAAGATACATTTAAACTGACAAGGAAACATACAATGGAATCAAAGGGAGGTCAACAAGCAAGACAAAGGAGACAGACCTGTAGGAGGCAAGGACTGAGCCAGATGTCTGAGGGCACTCCAGGCAGGAGAGGGAATGCCCAGGTCTGGGGAGGCACCTCTAGGCCAGTCTGGCAGAGGGATCCTTAAAGGTGGAATCCAGACCCCAGGGGCTCCTGGGGTGTCAAAACTATTTTCACTAAAGCATCTAGACATTTTAATTTCTAATATGGTCAGTGTTGGTAGATATAAAACCATGGAAATAAAAGCTCTTTGTTGGGGGGATCCTGAAAAAATTTAAAGGTGTAAAGGGGTCCTGAGATTAAAAAAAAGTTTGAGAAGAGTAAAAGTGTGAGTAGCTTTAAATACTAGAGGCCCGGCTGGAGCCTTGGGGACCCCCACAGTCAGGGGGCTAGACAGGGAGGAGGATCCAGAAAATGAGACAGAAAAGGAACAGGCAGAGAGGTAGGAGAACCGAGAGAGAGACAGACACACGAAGAAAGACAGAGAGCAGAGAGACACAGAGAAAGAGAGAGGGAGAGAAGAAAGAGAGAGAGGAGGGAGAGATAGACAAGAGAAGGCAGGAGGGAAGGATAGAAAGAAACAGAGAGACAGACAGAGAGAGGTGTTCTGAAAACCTGGAGAGAAGAGAGATCACGGAGAAGAGAGCGACCAAGAGGGCCAGAGGTCAGGGAGAGCGAGGCTGGAGAAAAGGCCACTGGATTGGGCAGCCAGGAGGGCCTTGGCCACTTTGGAGGCGGGGTTTTGGTGGAATGATGAGGTCAGAGGCCAGCCTGAAGAGGGTTTAAGAGTGCGACAGGAGGGGGTGGAGGGGGCGGAGGGGGCAGTGTAGACAGCCTTTCCAGGGGTCTGACTGAGAAGGGAAGAGAGATGGAGAACGATTGTTTCTGTAACAAACCAAACCAGCTCTTGGCGTGTAAGTGCTCAGTAGGATGTGGCTGTAGGAGGGGGACGTCTGAGCAGGTCCCTCTTGGCCCCCTTGCCCCTCCCCTTCACCCCCAGGGCCTGGCTCTCCCTGTGGCTCTCCCGACTCGGGGAAGACCAGCCACAGGGGGCTACTTCTCATTTTTCAGATAGGTAAACTGAGGCCCACAAAAGGGCAGGGGCTTGGCTCTGATAGTCCCGTGTACCCTTGTCCACATCCTCGAAGAAACCCTGTAGGGAGGACACACCACCAACCTGCAGGCCTTCCTTCCTAGGGGCTCTGACCCTCTGTGGGCCCCCAGTCTGGTGTTATCTTTCCAGCTTTCTCCATCACACAGGGCACCTCCTCCCACACTCAGAGCCAGCAGGGACCCGGGATCAACCTGAGTCCAGCATTTCCTGATCAGGTGACCTCCGGATAGACCACCTCACCTCGGTGGGCCTCTGTCTTTTCTTCTGCAAAACGGATATCATCTTACCCAAAGCGCCCCCTTAGAAGTGAAGGGGTGTGTGGAAGCTCTAGTGAGGTTTGGTAGGTGAGTGCTCTGCGGTCTTGGATACCCTCAGGGATGCGCCTCTCACTTTCTGCCTGGTCACACTAAGAAGGCTGTAGCCCACGCCCGCTCACTGCCCTCCTCCCTCGGCTCTCCACTGACTTGCCCAGCTGGTCTAGAGAATGCTGGTGCCCCAGAGCCTGCCTGGCTGGGTTCCCAAAGGCACAGGAGCGAGCTTCTACTCTGGCGGAGGAGCTGGTGAACGATGGGAGGGAGTATCCTGCCAACAGTCTCTGTGGGGCCCAGAAACCAGCTCTAGGCACAGATGCTTGGTGGAAGGAGCCTCTAGGGAGGCAGCCCTCCCCCTGGGGGCTAGCTCTCAGACTCAGGCTACTGACATCAGCTGCCTCTCCCCCTCACAGGCTCACTGAGTCAGGGAGGACCTTAGGGATAATGAAGTACAATCCCCGCCCCCCCCCATAAAGATGAGGACCAGGAAAGGAAAGGCCTGTGTCCCTGGTGCCCGAGTGAGTCGACGGCAGCCTCAGCCCTCGGGTTCCCCCAGGCTGAGTGCTACTCTTGGCTTCAGAGAAGGCACCCAGCCCAGGTCCTGTATCTCCAGGACAAGGTAGGGGGGCCTTTCCCACACATTCCCTGACCCCCATTTGACACAAGACCAGGCACTGGGAGAGGCCTCAAAGACCCACCTCTTCATTCTTCCAGGTCCAGCAGAGGTGAGGTAGGGCTGGACCCGTCCCCCTCTCCCATGCCTGCTGTTTCTCTGCAGGGCTGGCTTGTGGGCCCCCCTCCCTTTGAAGTGGTCAGCCCAGCCCTGCCCATCCTCTGTTTGGCCCCCGGGCAGAGGCGCTGGCTGCCCCTTCCTGTCTCTAATCTTCCTCCCGCAGAAGCCCCCAGCTCAGACTCCTGACCTCAGCTCCGGCCTCCATTCCCTTCCCGGCCCCACCTCTGCTCCAAGGATGCCTGTGTCCCCTGGCCAGCCTCTGACCTTTGTCCAGAGGGCTGGGCAGGCCCTCAAGTGGCATCAGGCTGTGGAGCCGTGTGGGGACAGTAGTGGGGCTGAGGGCCATGGCCCCAAAATGAAACAGCACCACGCTGGGAGCCCCAAGTGAAATCTGGCTTTTGAGGGAGGGAGGAGGAGCAGGCCAGGCCACTATAGACTCTTTATTCTGTTCAAAACAGCCTTCCTCACAGACGTTCTCCTGTCGGGGTGGTGGGGGAGGGGGGGTCACTTGTTCCGGAGCCGGCGGGAGTGTCGATGCACGGCCTCCACAAATGCCCCGACGTGTGCAGGATCCATGTCTGGGTAGATGCCGTGGCCCAGGTTGGCGATGTACCGCTGGGGTCCAAAGGCCGCCAGCATCTGCTCTACACATTGTTCAATCTTCTCCTGTGGGAGGGGAGGGAAGGGTGTGGAGCCCACGGTGGTCAGGGGGGCACGTGTGCCCACAGAGCCCACACAGACACCCCCACACACTTCCCTACCTTGGAGGCGTAGAGGGCACAGGGGTCCAGATTGCCCTGGAGGGTCACCGACTTCCCCACACGGTCCCTGAAACCAGTCATTCAGTCAATAAGCATTCATCACAAGCCAGATTAATGAAGGCCTATTCCTGGGGGGGCTCCCCCACCCCAAAAGCCACCCCCCTGACAAATCCACCCTTGTCAGGAGGCCTCCCATTCACAGATCTCACAGATCATTAGCCCTGGGAAGTCCTTGAAAGAGAACCCCCCATTTTACACACAAGGAAACTAAGGTACAAGACAGGAAACGACTTGTTGAAGGTCACACCATCAGTTCCAGGCGGAGATGGGCCTCAAACCCAGGCCCTAGTGACTGAGGCTCTTTACTCACCGGGCCTGGGCAGGGTTCACTGTCCAGTCAATTCCAACCACTTCATAGCCAGCCTGGGCCAGCTCTTCCAGGGCATAGTGTCCGTCCTTGGCAAAGATGATCTAGGCGGGGGAGGGGCAAAGGTGAGTGTCCCAGGCCAGGATGGACACCTCTGCCGTGGTGAACCTGGCCTCCTCAACCCCACTGTAACCCCCATGGGTCAGGGTTTCCTGGAACTCCCCAAACCCTTTCTACCCTTCACCTTCTTCCCAGAAGCTTTAAGATTAAAGATTGAAAGAAAATTCCCCCACAATCAGAGCTAAAGGGATTCATGTCCCTATTTTACAGAGGGGGAAACTGAGGCCTAGAAACCTTGAACTGGCCCCTGCCATGCACCCCCTCCCCCCACTGCCTCCTTTCAGACCCTTGTCCACATTGGGGCCTTACCAAGGGCACTGGTGCCTGCCCTGCCTCCTGCAGCCCGGCCTTGACCCTCTTGGCCACATCCCGGATGTAGGGCAGCGCAAACTCTGAGAAGAGCTCAGGGCCCAGGTGCCCGGCATGCGATTCAAACACCTGCAGGGCCTAGGGGGAAGGGTTGAAGGTTAGAGGTCAGAGGCTAAAGGGGGCAGCCCAGAGCTATCTCACCAGACACGGCTTGGGGAGACCACGCCCTGGGCCTTCCCCTCCCTCCTAGCCCCCTCCCAGGGGTGCCCCCACCTCCCTTCCCTCCTGGCCCCCTCAGGGGCCTTCTCAACCTCCTGGACCCCCCTGGACATCCCCCCACCTCTTCTCCCTCCTGGCCCATCCCAGGGGCCTCCCCTCCCTCCTGGCCCCTCACCTGTGCCCCTGCGGCCACCTGGCCCACAAGGTAGGGGACGAGGACATCGGTCAGGAGGCCTAGCAGGCGATGACTGGCCTTGGGCCACTGGTAGAGCCATCGCTTGGCCTGGGCCATGGTGTTTGAGCCTCCCCCCTCCACCATGTAGGACATCAGTGTCCATGGGGCCCCTGAGAAGCCGATGAGGGGCACACGCCCTGCCAGCTGGTGGCGGGTCAGTGTAATGGCCTGGAACACGTAGCCCAGCTCCTTGTCCACGTCTACGGGGGCCTGGAGGCGGTCCAGGTCCTGCTTGTCCCTTAGGGGCGATGAGAAGGTTGGCCCTTTGCCAGGCACCATGGTCACCTGCATGCCCAGTGCCTGGGGGGAGAGGGTAACCTGAGCCTGAAGGCTGGGCCGGGAGCCAGGAGGAGGCCCCCTCCCT